GGGTATGTCCGATTTTTTCATTTTTACGCGTAAAGGCTACACTGAAACTTCCAATGTTTTTACGATACTTGAAGTTTGTACTTTCGGTTATGCGACCAGGAGAGTGCCCAACACATACACCGGTCAGACCCACAGACAGACGAACATGGCTAAATCAACTCAGAATTTCACGCTGATCAAGAATATCTGTTCTTTATAGGGCCTCTGAAGCTTCCTTTTGGGTGTCACGCACATTATGAATAGAAAAAAAAAATAAAATGACTATACTCCCATCTTACAGTGGTGGGCATGAAAATTATATTGGTTGTGTGCATGGGAAAAAAATACAGCAGATCAATGAAGCTGTGCAGACCGGTTGTAGGCAAAACGTTCATCTATTTGCAACAATTATTCGCCTGCTTCTGTAGGTTTATTGGAATTCTTAACTAATTTTTCTTATGATAGCTTTAGTGTTGCTGTACACTTGCTTTAGAATCATGAAGTCAGAATCGTTTTCCAACGTGACCTGGGAAACTCAGCTAAGAATAAACATAGGATAAGTTTCAACTTCCCATTTCTCAGTCGTTTAATAGGAGACTAATCCTTCCTTTATTCGTACGTCTTTTGAGTGGTTAGTTATATTAAAAAATAAATCGGATAATTATTATCGTTGAAGTGGAAATAGTTCGTGTTCTCCCAATTAAAATGGCGGCGTCCGCTCATTCCGAGGATCATATCATAATTTTTTCATCAATTGTCTCAGGCAAGAACGAGAATATTTTGGTCGATTAATTTACATTTACTAGAGATTTATTTCTTAGCAAAATCATTATCAGAAATGTAAATTTGATTTTTTATGGTAAAAGGTTCACATCGACTCATTGTTTGCACTAAGGGATTTGAATGAAATCTTCTTTTGCTTCTGCCTCTTTATGGCAATCGCTTAAAACTGAGAGACCTGCCTTCTCTCGCAATCGGAGCGTATCTGCCAGAAGTTACTTTTGTATACATTTAATATACATAATTGATTCACCACATTTTTTTAAAGGGAAATCAGTATTCATGTTGTTTCGCGTCCAACTCGTAATTATAAGACCTTAGTGTTGGTGCAATGTAGTCGTTCAGTCCGCTTCGGACTACCCGGCTTTTTGTCCTTCTGACTCCATTACTCGTACCAAAAGGTCTATTCTTTAGCATGCTCACAATTGAATCGATCGTCTCTAATTGCCAGATTACATATATGTTCGTATATAAACGTATCTAGCTCTTGAGCTCTGCTCGCATTAACTATAATGTTAGACTTAAGCAGTAAGTTACCGTTGTTATCAATTAATTAATTCACTAGACCATCTTTTAAATATTGTTTTGCTTTAACTACGGGTCACATAAACGTTAGTAAAGCTACTAAGTTAATTAAGGTAACCTTCAGTTTATTTGTTAATTTTTATTCCAAGTTTCTTGTATCAATTATTATAAACATTAATTTAAGATTTAGTTCAATGAGTATTAGTCGATACTCGAATATCCTTTGAACTAAAAAAATAATCAAGCGTTCGAAGCAGTGGCTTTCGGCAAACCAAACCGCAATTTCAACCTCTAAACCCAGCTTATCGAGGAGGCACTTTGCTTCACGAACCCCCCGGTCTTGTAAGAGCGTATTTAAAATTTGCAGGGAAGATGACAAATCGTCGTTGATAATGATGATCGTAAAAAATGTTATAAATTAAAAATTTAAAACTTACTATAGAAGGTTTGTCTTAGATCTCAAAATTATTGATCACCTATGAGTTCTTCTATTATATAAAAGACGGGGTATTCCAGGGTGAAAAATGATTTCTTAAAGTCAGAATGAGTTGAGAGATTTTCTTCAAAGCAAACTTTAAGAAAAATTTCCGACAGATTTAAAATTCTACCACTTCTACCGTCCTTACCACCCTTACCGACACAATTAAAAATTAAGAAAGATATTTATTTGAAAGAATTGGTTACTGTTTGCATATACCAAGCCGGCACTTGTGTCGCATGGAACAGGATATTGAAAGAAAATTTTCCAATCGCAAATGCATGCGCAAGTCTCAGCTTCGGTGTCATCTTCAGTATGATTCCGATGATTGTTTTCATGCTTTCGAAGAAGAATTCGACTCAATCGATGCTTCTTACTTTATATCCTTCTTGCAGGGCGTTGCCACAGAGTTACAATTGTCATAGGACAGCATTCTGGTTCTATTTCATATCTCGGATTTTCTCATTTTGAATTTCTTAACTTTAATTAAACGAAAGGTCGCTTTTGCTACCAAAGGCCAAAGCTTTTAAAAATAAAACCTCTATTATTTATTAACGAATTCCTTTTATAATTAGACAATAAATATGCAGGAAACTTTGCTAATGCTAATAACAGTTGTATGTTCAGCGCTTTTGCAATTCTTACTTACTTCTATTTCCGTTCCGTTTTTATCAGCACCATAAAGCTTAGCTGTTTGTTCTTTTACTCGTATATTCATGCTTAACATTTACCTATGTAGGTAAGAGCGGGTTGGCTTTCAAATTTATGACCGCGAATTTCAATTAAATTTCTTTCAAGTTTTCAAAACTATTTATTGTTTAGTGTTTTGATTCAAAAACATTAGCTTTGATTCTTTTCACTTCCGATACACGAGAAAAAAAATAAATAAAAGGTGGAAAATGTTTAATTATTCATCAAAGTAATCCCCCTTAGATATAATACACTTACGCTAGCGCTTTGTCCAAGAGTTCTTTCGGCGATTCGGTCTTTATCTTCTCAATCGTGGCAAAACCCACATCTTTTATGGAAAAGTCGTAGGGGGCCAAGTCAGCTGAATACGGTGGCTGAGTCATGATTACTGTGCTGATTTTGGCCAGAAAATTACAAAAAAGCAATGACCTGGCGCGTTATCCATGAGCGGTTGTTCCTCACTTCTAGAATTTTTTTCGCATGCGAACTTTCTTCATGCTTTTTTGCTTCATGCGAACAGCGCATATCTTCCGACTTTCTGGCAAGAACTCATCATGCAACGGGCCATTGCTACGATAGGAGACAGTGAGCAAAACCTTCACCTTTGACTGAACTTGGCGAGCTTTTTTCGATCCGAGGCTTTTCTGGCCACTTTTACTGTAATGACTGGGCGTTGATCTCGACCTCATAACCGTGCACTCTTATTGCGTCACCAGCTATGATCCTTTCGAGCAAACGTGGACTGTCGTTGACGTCATTCAACAGCTCCTCAGCGATGCTATCGCGGTAGTCTTTTGCAATTTGGAACAAACTTCACTGCCACAGATTTCATGCCCAAAACACTTGATAAAATTTCGTGATATGAGTCGACATCCCCATGAATTTCGTTAATAATGATTCGACGATTTTCTATAGTATTTTTCTTCACTGCTTGAAGATGTTCATCGTTTGTTGACGTACTGGAGTGTCCAAGAACGGCGTCGTCATTAACATCTTCTCGGCCGTCTGTGAAGAAGACTATTCGAAACTATTCGAAAAATTCGAAGATCGGAATTTGTAAAGTCAGCTTTTTTTGAACACACCTCGTATATTTCGCGTTTAAAAGTAATCGCAGAAACATTGAAGAATATTAATAAGGATATAAATATGATTTCTTGCAATGGTGTTGGCAAAAAAATAATTACGATTTTTTTAGTGTAAAGAAAATACTTATTGTTATTGGGATAAGCTTAAAAGAGTTTTCTTCTGGCGTCTTAACTAAAAAAAGGAAAAAAAAAACATGAAATGATCTTCTCCCGTATGTAGGGAATGGCCCAGAAACTCTGCTTTGGTTAAAGCACAAGAAGAATAAATAAATAAATTTGTTGTTCTCATTATTGTGCAAATAAATATTTTGTTCATGTTACCAAAATATATTTCAAATCATAATCATTAGAGAATTTGATTAAAAGTAGTGGTATAAACAAACACACAAATGAAACAAATTTTTCCCCCTGAAATACAAAACATGAACAATTTTTATTTACTTCTGCTAAGTTTCACTTAATCGCAACTAAACCGTTGCGGTTCCATTGTGTGTACGTTTTATTGACAAGTTGCCAAATTTTCAATTCTTATGATAGAAAAAAAAATAAAAAAGAAAAAAAGTGGGATTTCAAATGGAAATTGTTTGTTTGTGCTTGAATTTGGATTCGCATTAACTGAAATTCACCTGAAAATCAATTTGCTGTTAAATGTTTGCAAAACACAAACTTCTTAATGTACGCTCATATCAACACATTTGTATATCTTATCCTTTATATCTGCATATATACACATATATATACATATATATATGTATATATATATATAAACATATATATACATATATATACACATATATATATGTATATATATATATAAACATATATATACATATATATACACATATATAAAAATATATATATAGTTTATTAAAAATACGGAAGTAGTTTACAAAGTTTAACATGCGACGGACGGCACCCATCCCTTTAAATAAGAAAAACCCAAACTTTCACTTTTATGCGCTTACGTAGCGCAATCGCAAAAAAGATTTATCAAAAAAAAAATAAAATAAAACAAGTAAAGCAAAACTGTTGGAAATGAAAAAAAAAGTTACTTTCTTAGCATGTCTATCACTGTCTGGTGCGGTGAACGTCTCACACGTGGTCTAGAGCTCAATAAAGTTAAACGTCCTGCATGTCGTTTTCGTCGTTTTTTCTTTCCTCGTTTTAATTGATCACAGTTTTATATGCATATCTACACATCGACATTAGAAAAATTGCGCACGCCTCGCTCTTATTAATGTATAATTGCGTGTATTTTATAGCAACACATAAGAAAAGTGTAAGAAACTGTCGTTTATGTGTGTGTCGCCCTGTTAATATTCACCCGAATCACTTCCATGCATATTTATCGATTTGTGAGACTAATTAAGTCGTTGTCGTTGTTATTATTTTCTTTTAATCAGTTCAAGCAATTTAAAAAGACAATTTAAAAGACATAACAGAAGCTAACAAAAAAAAAAAAAAAAAAAAAACGAAAGAAATAGAAACGTAAACCGTAAACTTCAATCTACAAAAAGTAAAAAATACATAGCGTAGCAGATCTGCTTTAAAATGAGCGATAGTGATACGGTAAGTGTATCTAGTATATAATCGAAATGACAAAAAATTATAATATTTTCGAGTATGCACGGCTAGAGCTACGTTTACATTTGCGTTCACCATCAGAGTATAGTGATTTTTTACCTCGCTTGTCAAGCAAATCCAGAGATACGATGCGAAAATACAATAAATCATATACGTGCGCGCTTTGGGTTCCGAATCGCACAGCAACCCATATATCTGGTCCTATGTCCGCTAAGCAGTAGTGGAAATTCTTGCGCCCAAGGCTAAGCAGAATTCATTTACAATTCGCATTTTGTGACGTAGTCCTTTTATCGAATTGTCTAAGGTCTCCGTAAGTTTTGTGAAGTATGTTCGCAGGACTTCAGGGTAATATATCGTTTTCGGCTTAGCTGGCAAGCTTCTTGTTTAGAGTATACCTATCTCATTCGTTTCGGTAATAACGGATTGATCAACCCTCGTTCAGGGATTCTAGTCTTACTTCCATTTCTATTTCCCAATACGCTTTTCTATGCATCTTTCAGAGGGCGGGGAGAAAGACGGACGGAAACACAATATTACCTTCGACCACATTTAGTAGAAAGAAAGTATGAAACGTATATTCGGTTGCGACCCGTTTATAACGTTGTCCTACAAAAGATTAAAAAAAAGGGAAAAATATAAATTTGTTTACTCCATAACATTGGGTGGGCGTGGCTGACGTTTTCTATTCTTGTAGAATAATTTTGCGGATATTTATACCATGTTTTTCCTGTAGTTTATGTGCAACAAACAAAAGACAAGGTCAGCAAAGATGTTCTCAGTACTCAGGTTGTACACACGGTGGTCTGTTCTTCGACCTGTTTGGGCCATTTCAAAACTCTTTTCAAAACTTGTAGGCGATATCTCTTTCTTTGCGAACGGGAGGATGTGAGCCACGGTTACGGCACGGTTAGGCACATAAACAGATGGACAGACAAACAGACGGCCAAGCTTAGGTGCTTTCCAAATTTTAAACTGGCCAAGATTTTATATGGTTTATGCGATGAAGCTTGCTTCTGTGCGTTGTAAACTTGTTGAAGAAAAATTTAATTTTGATATACTATAACATTGGGCGGGCGTGGTAAATTTCATTTTTGTATCGCCCATAGAATATACGATCAAATCTTTGTAGATATAACTGCTGTAGTGCGTAAATAATGCGAAAAAAAACAATTTTTTTCCTTTTGAAAAACGGAGCAGTTCTCAGTGCACATGGTACGTTTAAGCATGTCCTTCGACCGATTTGGCCCATTCGCAATACCAACCTGCGCGCAAGAACTTCCAATATCTTTGCCAAATTTGAACTCAATTGTTTAATTTTTATGGCCAGATTAACGTTTACAACAGGCATTACGCAGACGGACACACGAACATGGATAAGTCGATCAAAAATATAACTACTTTGTTGGATCTATGAAGCTTTCTTCAGGGCGTTGTAAACGTGCTGATAAATTTAATATACCCTTTCTCCTTCAGTGGTAGGTGTAATAACCGGTAATCTTGGACCTTGTATAATCTTTGCACGCTAAACTACGCTTGTAAGGTAAAGCCATCCTAGATTATTTGGGGAGAAATACACCAAAGACATCTACTCTTACTCTTGCTCTACTTAGATTCGCTTATGGGCAAAAAAACATCCTCAGTGACATGAATTATTATTAATTTTTCAACTTCAATTCTTACTGATGCCTTTGGTTGACAAAAAAGAGTAGGAGAGACTTGACATTTTAAGCAAAAGTGGTCCGCTATTGCTGACATAGAAAATATTCAAATGAAAGTTATTTTCACCAATAAATTGTAAAGCTGACGGAGGCACGGGGGTAAATGCCATGTTCCAGATTTTGAAAAATGATCACAATCAATAAGACGCTGCGGGGTGAAATCAGTCAGAGGAAGGAATTTGTTGAATCAATTGAAATATTTATTGTTCACTGTCGAAACACAAATTCTTCACTAGAACTTTTTAACTGTATGCACTTGAGAGAGATGGAACATATATATATTTATAATTTCTACCTGATGAAAACGCAAAGCAGTTGAATTTTAAAATATCTTCTATTACATAATGTTGCAAATATTTGCAAACTGTAAATAAAAAAGCAGAGCTGCACCTGCATACATTAGGAAATATTTATTTGTTTTTGTATTGATATCAAAAGAAACGTTTATATGCTATATATAGATGAGAACACCTGGGCCTTTACGCGCACCCTTTCCCGGTGGTGTACCACCGCGACCCGTGGCTGGAACGATTAGGCCTACAGGCGGTCCTGCGGCGGGTCCAGTCAGAGCGGGATTGCCGCCGCCATTACGACCTAACGATAGCCGAGTAAATGTATTAATGGCGTCCGGAGCACAACCAAGACCTGTTGGTCCTCCACAAATTAGAAACGCCACACCGTCGCAAATCAACAATTTAGGTCCAATGAGCCCACCTAGCCAGGGCGGAGCAAGAGCGGAAGGTACATTTTCGTGGCCACCATCTGCACCTGGGCAACCAACACAGAATCGTCCCCAAAACGTGTATCCCGGCAATCAGCAAACTCGTCCCCCATACGCTAGGCCATCTGGAATTGGTCCCTTATCTCAGCCGTCTGCTTCGCGGCCACAATTTCAATCTCAACCGCCACAACAACAAAAACAATCACCACAACAATTACAACCACAGTCGCAGCAACAACCCCAGTTACAGTCACTACAACAACAGCAGCAACAACAACAACAACAACAGCAACAACAACAGCAGCCACAATTACAACCACAACTACAACCACAATCACAACCACAATCGCAAACACAATCACAAATGCAAAAACAGCCACAACAGCAACCCCAACAACAAAAGCAACAGCAACAACCAAAGCAGCAAGAGCCACAACAACAACAAAAGAAACTACAAAAACCAAAACTCCTACAACAGTCTCCGCTGCAACCACAAACAACGGGTCAAGCCCAACCTGAACGACAATCTTCATCACTTTCTAACAATGATGATGAAGACGTTATAATGGGTCAGGCTGTGACACCATTAAAATCTGCAACACCTAAAACTGATCCAATGGGTCCGTCGACGCTAATCGAAGAAGCTGAACCAATCGAAATGAAAGAAATCCAAGAATTATCGCCCATCACTAAAACCAGCGACTTATCTCTTACATCTCCTGAGTCAATAAGCAATGAAAAGCCTTTAAAAAAATTGAGTATTGAAACATCGAAGAATGACTTAAACATTGAGAAATTGAAGAAAGTTGAAATATATCGTAAGCAAAATGCAAAAAATAATTTAAATGTTTTTTAAAGCCATTTCATGCCGAATTCTTTAAAATAAACTAATGACCAATGCTAAAAATTGTACTCACTGCGCTATGTCTCTTTTCAGAGGGCGATAATGACAGCGGTGTGGATGAGTCTACGCAAGAAAAGGTATGTCTTTAAAACCTATATGTTTACTGTTTATACACGATGAGTACATTTATGTATATCGCCTGATTAGACAGACATTGGCCCTTGGCATTGTCGGGTCAGAATACACGCTACTCGGCAAAAGATGTGTAACTAAACTCGAACACAATGTTTCTCTTGTTTCAAGTTCTACAGCTAGAATGTGAGGATAATGAAACAACAATCAAAAAGGGGACTGAATAACAGTTAGCAAACGTCCAAACTTTTTCATCAATATTTGCATAATATAGAAATGAATTTTCCACAGTTTTCCACAGAAAATAACGATGACACAACGGCAGGGTTAAATCGATTCGAATCGAATGAATTTATTTTTTATACCCATCGCCCAGAAAGAAGTTTCAAAGACCGCACAAAGTCTATATATTCTTGAACAGCACTAAATTCTGAATAGATTTAAGTATATCCGTCTGTCCGGTTGTCCGTCTGTGTAATGTCTGTTCTAAACATTCTTCTGGCCTTGACCGATTTCAACTTTGGAATGCATCTAAGCGCCTAAGCATGGCTGTGTGTTCGTCGGTCTATCCGTCCCTCTGCTCAGCTGGGCAGTATCTACGGTAAACGTTTTTCCGTTAGCCTAAAAATTTGCATAAAAATTTGCGAAGTGACCTAAACTTTTCATAGGACGCCTGCAACGCCCACACGCCTATGCGAAAAAGCCTTTAATTTTGAAAATAGGAGAAATCAGCTACACCCACGTTCACTCCATTCTATAGAGCGTGAAAGTTTAGTTCTTTTACTTTGTTTATCTTTTTCACGACCACGGTGATGAGCATAAAAGATTCAATCACAACTGACTATAATTTTCTTACTTGTTTTGCTTTTGTTTGCTGGCATTTATTAAATTTTAAAAGTATGTTTTATGAAGAAGTACCTTTGACCCCTATTTGCGAATGTAAAAAATTAACTCGCCACCAATCGTATGTAAATTATTTGATTTGTGAAAGTTAAAGCTAGAGATCAGACCGATTGTCAGCAGAGTATCAAGTTACTTTGCTTTATTGTGACAGCTTTCCCACGTGAGTTGCATTTAGTTTACAAGTTGTAAGATAATCAGATCATTTGTACGCCATTGGTGGTCAGAGGTCGAGGCCTAAAAATGGCTATTGTCCATTCACTGGTACGTCTTCTATAATTAAAAAACTGAAATTTATAAAAAATGGACCTTAGGGTCAGCTCATACATCCCCGGTTAATAAAATACTTTACAATTATTATTAACTTACTTGCGGAGTTAATCATCCAAAATTTGTTCAACTAAAAGCTCGATTTTCTTATTTATTTGTTTCGTCCACACATAGCGACGGATGTGTATTCATTTTTCAAAACGTTTCCAATAACAAAAAGCAAGCTTCAGAAATCTTGTAGATTGTACATATTCTTGATCATTATGAAATACTGAATCGATCTAAACCTGTCTCCCTGCGCCTCTGTCCTTCTGTGACAATGTCTGTGATAAGCATTCTCCCAATAGCGAAAATCAATATATCGGCTTAAAATTTTGTAAAAGCACGAGAAGACCAGGTGGTATTCAAATTAGACCAAATCCGTTGGAGAACACTATCTATAGTAGAACGCAAACTAAGAACACCTCTCCTTAGACGCTACAACAGATAAAACGACTAAAATTTCTGTATGTATTCTAGGGATAATTTCAAAACGGGTTCTGCACAAAAGTGAACAAAATTCGACTCCGTCCAGTTTTATAGAGTTTCGAAATTGCATTGATTTTTTGTTTTTGGTCGGGGTTTTTTTTTTAGGGCAAAGATGAAAGGCACGGAAGATGCGACCATAGCCGAATATAATTGTTCTTTTTATGCCCATTATCCCAGAAGAAGGCTTCAGAGACCCCTCGAAGTATATATAGCCTTAATCAGCGTCAAATTCTGAATCGATTTAAGCATCCATCCGTCTGTCCGTCTGTTGGAACATTGTCCTGGCCGCAAAACTGAAACTATGAAGTTCCAATTTGGTAGAAATATTGGAAGATTTTATACGCAGGTTGTTATTGAGAATGGGCTAAATTGGCCGAAGGATACGCAAGCAATATTACTTAAAGTGAAGATACCTCTGTTTTTCAAAAGGAATAAAAAATTCCTTTTTCGCTAATTACTAATAACTTATAGCAGATAAATCTACAAAACTTTGAACTTGTATTCTATGGGCGACGCTAATTAAAAATGGTAAAAATTTACTCAGCCCATCCAATACTGTAGTGTATCAAAGCTTAATTCTTTTTTCATCTTTACAAAGCGCAGAAACAAGCCTTAACCGCCAAAGGCCAACCGCCAACCGCCGTAAAGTACAAAAATCCTCGACCAGTTTCAAATTCGAAAGGCATCTAAGTATATCTGTTTGCTCGTGTGTCCAATTGTCCGTCTGCCCAACTGTGGAGTATCTATTCTCCCGTTAACCAAATTGAAGACATCGCCTACGAACTTGCTAAAGAATTTTAAAAGGACCTAAACCGTCTATAACGCCCAACCTCCTACGCAACAAAAACTATGAACACCTTTGGATGTTATTCACAACGTACAACACATACACCATACAAATTTCCACTTTTACTCTGAAAATGGGAAAAATCAGCCACGCCCGCCCAATATTAAAGAGTATGAGAACTTAATTCTTCTGTATTTTTTTAGTCTGCTGTAAGATAACGATGATGGGTATAAAAATTTCAAAATTTGATGACATAATCATGACAAATTTCCATCACGATATACAAGAGTTATACTTTGGGAGTCTTCGCGAGTGGTGTAAAAATAAAAACTTCTAACTCCATCGACCAGAGACGGGTGCAGAAATTGTTCCCTAGATCGACTTGAAATTTGCTCCTACAAATGTTTCTAGTCTGCCTAACAAATAATACATCGAAACTATTATGTTCCGTGAATGTTTAGTGTATGAAAGGGGACGTAAACATCGCAATCACCAGACTTCATATAAATGATAATTAAGATTAATCGAGTATAAAAAATTTCAAAAAAAAAAAAAAGTAATAAATAAAAAATAGTAATAAGTTATGCTTAAATGAACAAATATTAGCAGCAAACTGCAGAGGTTTCCATAAATTTGATGGAGAACAATGTTTCCAGAAACACATCGGCAGGCGGAATAAAAGCATAGCTAAAGAAAAATTTTAAGATTAAAAAAACTTATTGCAAAACAAAAGTTAAGAAAAAAATTTCTTTTTTTTTTTTAGTTATAAAAGGTAAAAGTGCGAATTTGGGAAAAACTTGAAAGAAAGAATCTTTAAATGGAAGAGGGTGGAGCGGAAACTCTTTAAAAAGTCAAACTTATATCAAATGCCGTCGTTATGAATAGCGCGGAAATAATTCTTCAGCTTCTTCAGCTTTTTGTAGATAAATTTGTTTTAGTTCTTTTGAAATTTTGCGCATAAATATTACGTTAACAATGTTCATCAGCTTGCCTGGCTAATACCGGTTCGTGTAACTCATACTCCCCTACCTGATTTGCTTTAATCACACACACATTACTGTTGGTGAAATTATGCATTAGTCGGCCTGTAATTTAAAAAAAAATAATAAAATTTAAAGAGGAATGAAAAATACATAATAATGTTAATTGTTTCCAATCCGTTGTCTTCGTTTATACCCCACACCACATGCGATGCAATGATATATTAAGTTTGTGCAACATCCAAAACGGCTTGAGATGGAATCTCCCTTTGTTACATCAATCGAGTCAGAATCGCCTTCTAAATCGATTTAAGTTTAAGTGTCGATCCATCTGTCCGTCTTCTGTTCTTATGTTCAGCCTGCAGGTTGCAAATTTTGTTTTTCTATAATCAGTCACTCTAGGGATGTCTCTTATACCTGCAGGCTCGGTGAAAGAAAAAGGGGAAAAAGGTAGTAGTGTTTGTGAGCACACGCCTTGAAAATGGGGTGAACACACATGGCGGGAAATTTTTGACATATTTTGATGAAATTTAATAAACCGACGTGTTTTCCGGCCCAAGGCCGAACGCTACTGGAAATGGTTGGGAACGGATCGATTTTTCGACCACTTCCCATAAAACGCCTCATGTTGCAAAGTCGTTATTTAGTGATGTAAGGTATTCAATGATGAGCCACGGCCCCGATAATAAAACTCAGGTTGCTGAGTTACATAATATTCTGCAATAATTTGCAGAAGCCGCCTGAGGTGTTTCCGCCACGCCTCCAAAACAAAACAAAAGCTTTGCGCACTGGCTGCATTTTCCCTGCAATAATTTTTCTGCATTGTGTCCGTCCTTTTGTATATCCTGTCCGGAGTATTGCAGTACCGTGTTTTAATCAGCGCTGTTTACTAAGTATATCTTAGCTATGTATGCATGACAATGCAAACTTTATAAATTTTATTTTGTATCGTATTTGGCTAAAAAATTTCTATAAACATATAAAAAAATACTGAAATTAAGGTCAAATATATATATATATATATAAGTGAAGGCGCGCAGATGAACATTTAACGAAACCAATGTCAGTCAAATATCATCGATAAAACAATATGAATATCATGTTGTTATTTCTGTTGTTGTTGTTATTGTTATTGTTATATATTCACTTCGTTTACAAATAAATAAAAGTTTACAAAACATGTAAATTTGTTCCTGTTTTTGGCCGAAACGTAAATCTCAAAACCCATTTGTTATAATGCAGCGATAAAGACAACACAATTTACAAGAAATTTCACTTTTATTGCAAAAAAAAATAATAATAATAATAATAATAAAATTGCTATCTGATCGGAGAAATCGAGAAACAAGGAAAATGCGTTTAGTTATAACGGCGGATACAAATTTTCTTTTTGTAATTTATGTGATATTTTGAATGAAATGTAAAAAAAAATTTCATTAACATTTTTTATCGCTGTTTTCTTTTCCAAAAAAAAAAAAAAAAAAAAAAAAAAAAAAAAGGAACGTCACGGACCTGGTTCACCCAGCTCACCAGTTAAAACACCAACATCGGTTTCTTCTAAGCCGGAGAAATCAGCCGCATCACGTCCACCAAGTACTACGCCATCGAATAAATCGACAAAATCGCGCAGTACTTCAAGGAATCGCTTGGTTTTAAAAACACCGGAGCCAGAACCAAATAAAAAAGGTACCTTAGAATTTTAGCAATTCAAAAGATTCAAAACTTTTCAAGACAGTTTGCTAATATTTCTCAATTTGCAAGGAAAATTTCGAAGCTTACGTGCTTTTAAAGCGTCAAAATGGTTTCACGTTTTATAAGTGTGCGTATCAAACGAAAGTGAAATTGTTTACACGAAGAAAAGGAAAGAAGAAAATTCAAGTACAATAATTTTCAGTTGTGTCCTTGAATTAATTCAAAAAAAAAAAAAAAAAAATCAAAAATCACGCTTACAAAACTTGAAATGAAAGGAAAAACTTTCGCTTAGCTTAATCCGAATCTTTTTATGCCTAAGAACCTATGAAGTCTACTGGTTGCTTAAAAAACTCCTTTATTTTATAATTAATATTATAATAATTCTTTGCGTTTGGGTCCTTGCCGGTGTCTTCACGACTGCCGGGTAATTGTCACGGTAAGCCGATAGACATAAGAACCCCTTATCTCAAAATAATTGAAAATATATATATAAATATATATACATATACATATATATATATATATATATTTTTTTTTTTTTTTATATAACATTATTTACAGTCCACGCTTACGAATCTTGTAAAGGAAATAATTATCTGATTTTTTTTTTAAGATTCATCAACGTTTGCTCGCTTCAGTTAGTTAAAGCGAGATCTGTAAAGAGAAATCTTTTCTTTCTTATTTTAGTACCAATGAATAAAATACAAGTTGGACACGCTCCTTCACCCAATTTGAAGGCCGTACGTTCCAAAATTGGATCTCTAGATAATGCCTCCTACAAACCCGGCGGTGGTAACGTTAAAATTGAAACCAAGAAAGTTGAAATTAAGGCAACGCCACGGATCGAGGCTAAAAATGATAAATACGCTCCGAAAGGAGGAGACAAAAAGGTAACTGCATATACATATACATACAAATTTGCCACGTTAAGACGAATTTTCAAATTTTTTTCACTTTAAAAAATAAAAAGATTTCAGTTCAGCAGATCTGAGAGAGATTTTAGGAAAATTTCCTGACTACAGAATGAAAAGAAAAAGCTCCTTGAGAAAGTTTGCTATGACCACTGTACTTACATTTTTTTACACGCTACGACTTGCAATACGTGAACTTAATTAAGATAATCCATTACGCAAATCGGAAAACGTTGTTGATACCACATTTTAAACGGCTAACTGATTGGGGGAATCTATCCGAAACAAATCGAATGTTTGAGTGAATATATTTCTTAGGCTAACGTCGCTTCATCGCGATATGTCATTCAGCCTATTCATCTTATGTTGCCTTTAATAATAGTCTAAGTTCTCTATTCCACACTTTAAGAAGTCACGTAAAATTTATTTCTTAAGGGAAAGATGGCAGAGTATTGCATTCGATTTATGCTGGTTGACTAGCGAAGGTTGAACATGCAAAGCAGATGCCGTTCGAAAAATTTCTTTATTTTCTGAAAATACTTTGAGGTGTCCTGATTAAGTGTTTGGGACCACTTTTTAAGTAGATATTTTACAAGGTTTTGCTGCCTTTATGCTAGATATGTTATTTACGGCGAATATTTCGAAAATGACAGTAGGGTTAATGTGCAATTTATTCTGGCACATATGAAAATATTTGATTATAATGTTATTCCAAATGGAACGACAAACTTTTACTACGCATCAGTGAATTTACTTTAGTGTTTGCTGTCAGACTACATGGTTTTCTCACTTCTAGAACAAATAACTTCACATGTCTACAAGAATGACTAAGTACATGAACTCTACATGTAGGTATGTGTGTGTGTGTGTATATGTGTGGCGGTATTTAGAGATGGGTATATATGGTAACTTTGTCATTGCATTTACGATATTCACTTTTATGCAAAAGGAAGTAATATTTTTAATCATCTAGTCAAAGTGGGACACTTTTGTGTAACGGACTAATACGTCACTACATTAATATGGTCAAAAGGCGCGTCTCATTGTAAAGTTAGCTAAAGGGAGTTTCATTTTCTACCCAGCAAAGCCTCCACATTCGCATTCACGCGAAAGCCCTTACGAAGGCAGACGAAAGATCGAAACTTTCTTAGCGGAAGGGCTGATGTTGTGCTTGGCGTTATTCTACACCTCGTCTTACCACTTATGATCTTCTTCCGTCCATGACTTTGTGCGAGGGATCCCCACTTCACAGTAGTGCTGATTAAACATTCGCTTATTGATTTGTTGTCGAAATCTTTGCGTAAATCATAAAAAGAGTGTAATACACGACCAATACGTGGCTTGCGAATCTTTCTTAATATTTCGAATAAAATTTGAGAAAAATTAAAACGAATTTATTGCCAACAAAAATGCCACAACCCAAAAACCACCTCTAAAGATATTGATTGGAAAAAAACGCGACGTAGCTTTTTCTCTTATCTTTGCGAAATATGTAGTCAATAAAACAACAATGAAACTATTCGTTCACATTGACTTTATCGCACTTTATCGTGTTTGAAAATCGAAATGAAATGATAATGTTTATATTACTTACCCTCTATCACGAATACACATAATCCAGGGTTAAACACTTACAATGGATAAGCATATCGTGCAAAGAGTGGATGTGTAGAAATTTGTCTTTTCTCGTTGTCTTTCTGTTGTTAGATAATTTCAACAAAATTGCAATGGAATGCTAAATCGAAAATTGGCTCCTTGGAAAACGCCCATCACAAGCCCGGTGGCGGCGATAAGAAAATTGAAACGATTAAAACAGAATTCAAGGAAAAGGCCAAACCAAAAGTGGGCTCTAAAGACAATGTTAAACATGTACCAGGAGGTGGCGACATTAAAGTAAGTTCGCTTTGACTTTTATTACACAAAATCCCTCTATTTATGTTATGTATCTTTATATTTCAATATGATTATTAATGTATTTTATTTTCAATACTATTTCAAATATATATACATATATATATATATATAAGTATAACTTGCAGCATGTGTATGAAAGAATCGTATATGAATATGCAGTTAAAGAAGCATGTTTTGAACTGAATTTCTAATGTGTTGAAGCATGTTCATTTAATTTGAAATTTTTCCGTTTAAAATTATTATCGCATGTAATTATATGGGACTTGAAGAAATTTTCAAAAAGTAGTTATGAATATTTTCAAATCAAATTCGCTTTATTATTTCATTGCATCATTTCATTTTTCTCTTTTCTGTTCGTTTCTTTGGGCTTAGTTGATTCACGGTCCGTTGCCAGGTCCAGTGACTTTAAAAGATTTTTTATATTTATAATCTCTTAAAGCGATCCAATCAGAATGGCTTTCGTTAGAAAATGAACAACGTTCGAGGAGAATTATTATTATTGACAATTCTTTATTTGTTCTTTAGAGTTTCTTAAGCAGACGAACGTGTGTATATTTCTTTCCCGCTGAAAGAAACACATTTTATTGTGCATAGTACCTTAGTCTTTACGGCATATTTAACCATTCGCATGAGGGCTATGTGAAAGAAGTTTTTTACTTCCCGTGTTCGATAAACTCCTCTAGCTATCTAAGCATGAAAGGAGAACAATTTGTTTTATTTATTTTATGCATTAAGTATGGCATTAAGTAAAGGCTGTCGGATACTTTTGATCATACGCTCGAGTTTATTCAAAACTCTACCGCACTTGAGATTCGAATCTGTGACCATTGAGTTCTTAGTCGCGACAGTTTGCCTACTCGGCTACTCGTGCGGATTACTCGGAATTCATTAAAGATAGGGAGATGGTGTATGTGAGGATTTTATACGAGTTGTGTCAAAAGAAAAAGTCACCATAACAAAGAGCGCATGTCAGAAATGGCACAACTGTACTGTATCTAAGGGGATTACTTAGATGGGGACCAAAAATGGATGTTAAAGGATATATAAATATATTTAGCGAAAAATATAAGATCAGCCTTTTTTGTGGAACACACCTCGTATTACTAAAACCAAACAAAGTAAATAGAAAAAGGTGTTTCCATCGTTTTATCAAGTGCACGGAATTGAAATTTTAAATATATTTATGTATAAACTTCACGATTACACTTATGAGAGAGCATACGTTGCACTATAGAATATAACTCATTCTAAGGGCTGTTTGCATATATGGGAGCAAAATAAAAAGATAGCCCAATTTCGTTTTGGACGATTGAAGGGATTGAAGGAATCTTAGCTTCTACACTTCCCTAAAAAATGTCCATAGTGGAGTACATTGGCTAAACTTGTTGGAAAGAATGTTACTTTCCTTCTTTTTATGCTGACAAATTCATTTTCATTGCCGAGTGTTTTTCACCTTAACCCCGTTGCAATATTTTCCTTCGATAGATTGATGATGAATTTTTTAAAAAAATATTTTCGTCACTGCAAACACGTCGTACAAAACAGCCAATGTACAGTGTATATGCGAATGACTATTTCATAAAAGAATGTGAAAAGTAAAAGAATACAAAGATTTTCCAAATTGTTTCGCTCTTCACGGCCCATTCTAAGATTAGATAATAATATTATTAACATTTTCTCACACATAATTTTTTAATTACCTGTAGACATACCATACATATCTTATGTCTTATGCCTTAAGGCATTAAATATATTTTAGTAACACATTTTGTACGTTTTTACATGCATACGTGTGTGTGCGTATGTGTGTGTGTGCGTGTGTGTGCGTGTGTGTCTGTTTGTGTGCGTGGGTGTATTTGATTTTTGTTTATTTTTCTCATTTCCATTACGCCTTACGATTGAAATGACAAAAACAAAAAAAAAAAAACTTGCTCTTAAACAACAATTAACAAACTTTGTCAATTAATTGAAAATAATTTTTAATTACGTCACAAACCATTTTGTTAAAAAAAAAATTTTAAGGAGCCAAACGAGCAAATTAAAGATGTAAGTAGCTAAAGAAAACTGAACACAACCTTTATAGCAAAAAATGTTTCGTATTGTTTTCTCTTATGCTTTTATGTAATTTTTGAATAAACACCTAAAGATCACAGTTCTTTTAATTTCGATCGATTGAGATTGCCTTTGGAATATTTTCAATATTCAGTAGAAAAGTTACACACCACTTAAAACATCGAGATATGCTCGGCTTGAATCGAACTATCTACTATCCACCGCTTATTGTCTTAAAAAAAAAAAGAAAAAAAAAAAGCATACTTTTTGTAAGGAACGAATTCATCTCTACATGCAGTCCAATATAAGTGAGTATAGTCTCCTTTTGAGGTTAAGTAGTTTCTCATGACATTTCTTTTTATTACATTTCTGCTAATTCGTGAAGAAAAATTCCGTACTTGAAGAACACTTGACCTTTCTTATTATATGAAATACATATTGGATTCGGAATCGATGTAATACTTCCGCTAAACGAAAAACTGGTTGTGTCGTCCGTCTGTCTTCTACCATCAGAACTAATGCACACATAAGCGCAAAGAATGCTGATAATCTTGTAACTCGGTGGTTGGTGAAGAATAGAAATTATTGAAAACCGTGGAAAGATGATGGTAGCAAAAGATGCATCAACCGCCCAGTACAAGAAGTCAATTGTTGGCAATACGGCTCCGTGAGAGATGACACGAAAACAGACCTTCACCCACAGTACTTTTTCTCAATATTTTATTTAAAAAAATTCAGAGTAAATCCTGGAAGCATTCTTCGTAGCAAATGAAAGCAAATATTCATTGGGCATAAATTAGTGGTGGATACGAAATTTTCGTGCGATTGTATGTTCTTTTGATCTTCTCGTTTTAAGTTTCAAAAATTTCTTTTTACTGTAAATTTGTCTCTTCCATTGAAAATGTGAATATTTTCTGTCTTTTTTTTTTTTTTTTCTTTTTTGATTTATCCTAATTAATGAATGATCTTAACGAATAATTATGAAAATGAAAATTTTAAAATGTACATATGTATGTGAAATTTTCAGATTCAAACGCAGAAAATTGACATTAAAGCACAAAGTAAAGTTGGCTCCATGGATAATGTTAAGCACAAGCCCGGTGGTGGCGGCAGAAAAATATTTGACGATAAGGATTATTTGAAAAATGTGGAGCATGGAGTTTCTCTTGCTAGTCCTCCTTCACAGGTAACGCCGTCATTGCGTTCTCGTTTCCGTTGCCATTTCAAGCCATTTGCTTCATTTTCTTCACCTTCCATTTCAACGATAGTACATTCTCATGTATTTACTTTGTTGCAAAACAGCTTTCATTCTTTTCCTTTCTGTTTCCATTCTTTTAAGTTTTGTTTGCTTTTCATCGCTTATTTATTCATTTATTACCGAGAAGTTCGTTTATATCGAATTTTTCTTCAAAGTTCTTTGATAACGAAAGAGAGGCCATAGACCAGAGGGTGTGCCAAAATGATTATATTTCACTAATATACATTTTTTATTTCATTATTGATAAAACGCCATTTGGGAATTATGGGTCATCTCGTCCTGGGTCTTGGGTATCCATACAAGTAGCCTTTAAAGAATATTTTCAAACTATGTGGGTATGTGTATGTGTATAAAGCATACATAAGATGTTTAAACGTTTGCAATTCATCCGTAAATATACTTATGTACCTTTTAAGGTCCTGGCGGTTAGTTCACATCAGTAAAAATTTACTTATTTCAATGATGTAACACCCAAGACCTACGCCCTTGTTAAAGCTATTCGTCTTCCGTACTCGTACTATTACTTTTCGGATATAGACTTCTTTAAATCAGCGGAAGTTCTCAAACTCACCGGCCGACCATTTTGACTTCGCCAAGCAACGTGTAAATTAAAGTCAGCTTGGTTCTGCTTGGTTTTCCTTCCTTGCAATTGCGTTGCATTTCAACCTATTCTAAGACAATTGCTAATATAAATGCATACATAAATACATACATATATTTCGTTCAAGATGATGTCCATACCATGTTCGTTCTTACTCCTCTTTACTAGCCTCTTTAGGAATATTACCTGTTCTCTCCTAATCGCCATTGAAACCTGGGAGTTTATTAATTTTGCTTCAAAATAATAATAACAACGAAGAAAATTATATCGGACTGCGACTGAATCTTTTATAACCATCACCGTTATCGTGAAAAAGGCAAAAAACTAAAAGACCTAAATTTTCATGCTCTCTAATATGGAATGGGAGCTGCTGATTTTTTTTTATTTTCAAAATAGAAGTTTCTCTTACATAGCCGCCTGGCTGTTGTAGGCGCCTCCCTGGAAAAGTTTAAGTCATTTCGCAAATCCTTTGCAAATTTGCAGGCGATCTCTTTATTTTCGCTGACGGGAGAACGTTTACCACAAGCATACAGTCGCGTAGGCAGATACATTGACAGACGGACAGACGGACGTGTTTAGGTGCGTTCAAAATTTGAAACTGACGAAGAATTTTTATACTTTATTGGGTTTTTAAAGCTTGTTTCTGTGCCTTATGAAGGTATTGAAAATAAAATTAAATTTTGATACACTGTAATATTGGGTAGGCGAGATCAATTTTTTTCATTTTTGTACAAGTGCTACAGCATCGCCCATTTTTTGTAGATTTATCTGCAATAGTTTACGAATAGTAACCAAAGAACCAATTTTTTATGCTTTTTGAAAAACAAAGGAGTGCTCAGTTTAAGTGATCTTGTAGGCCTGTCCTTCGACTGATTTGGCGGTTTTCAATATCCGTGGTCAAGACAACCAATATGCTAAATTTTGGAGTCAACAGCTTCGTCATTGCGGACAGGATAATACATACAACAGACATTACAAAGCCGGATGGACGGACATGCTTAAATCAATGCAGACCTTTATGCTAAGTAAGAATGTATATATTTTGCGAGGTCTCTGCAGCTTCCTTTTAGGCGTTGCAAACGTTTTGACGAAATGAATATACCCCTCGTGTTTCGGTGATGGATATAAAAATGAGTAGGAATTTATCAAAAACACATTATATGACTTATTATATGAATTAGTTCGCAATTTTAAGAAAATTATATTATGTCAATCCGGCTTTTTGGCTTTCATTAAACGTCTAAAAACAGGAGGACCTTGTAAAAATGTTCACAATTGCCCTATATGTCCGAGCTTCAACTCTCACGCGAATATTGGGGGAAAGAACCTATTTTCATTTATTTGCCCTAGAATAAGTGATGAATGCATGATGAATAACGATGAATGAAAATCGTTTGCCAGTGATCTCTGCTAGAAAATTGCGTGAGTAAGTGCTTGGGAGAGACGACGACCTTTTTTCGGGGAATAAAAAAGTTAACTTAACGAGGAACTCATACAGAAATAATTCATATAAACTACTACTACTACTACTACTACTACTACTTTCAAGTAGTGCTTGTACAGGAAACTGTTTTCTTCTAACACGAATTCAGTTCTCTGAACTATTTTAGTATTTTTGTAAAATTATTTAATAGACTTCAGATATGCAAATATTCGAATATTTTTCGCACTTTGCCAGTACGAGTTGAGAAAGGAAAAGTGCACCGTATTGTAGATACGCATTTTATCACCGCAAAAGGATTATAATTTTTACGGTTAATTCAAAAAATTTTAAAAGCATGAATATGATGAGAATTACTTTTCACTTTCAATTATACGAAATCATACGGAAATGTGTCTACAAATAATTTTAAGTTTAGCACACTATTCATATTCACAACTTTCAAATTACACTATACACTACATACGAAACGAAAAGGGGGAATGCGAAAAGAAAAATTCTTAAATTGTAGAAATTCTGTATCTGTATCTGTCCACTTGACCAATCAGATGTATAAATAAGTCATTGCCGGTTTTTTTGCAAGAGATGGCATTATTGGCTGTGGAGCTACATTCCCAATTTTCGTACGCCTTGAATAAGTCGAGTTGTATGCTAAAGAATAGCTAAGCCCTCCACGGTTTATTCCGCAATGTGTAAAGGAGAAAACTTGAGGCTTGTCGGAAAAATCCTTAGCATTACATTCCAAAATTCTACCAAGAAGCATCAAGAGTCCAGAAAAAAGAATATGCCACCAAGTAATGATTTATTATTTGTTTGAATAGCGTTTTCAATAGTATGATTGCAACGACATTGTCCCAGATATTGTCAAAATATCGATAGCCCTTTTGCCAGAAGTTAGGATTAAAATATGTGGTCTACGTTACAGAATATTCGAAATTTCATATTTTTAAATTAACCCTTTTTTCATACAAAAAGCCAATGATCACTTATTTTCACACCTGTATATGAATTTCATCAAGTCTTCGTATCGCATTAGGGAACGATCATTTGTGAGTGACATAAATGATCGAATCGATTTAGCTTCACTCTCCTATATTCGGAAAGCAATCTAATTTGCTTTTAGATTCATTCGTAATTATCATAAGCCCGTTAGGAGTGAATAATGCAACAGTTTTGCCAGGGTTTGGCTAATGCCAAAACCAATGGCAAGTCAATGGAGACATTCAAACCGAATCTATAGTGAAGAAGTATGATAACAGAAGACTGTGAATTCATTAATACGAGCTCAGGCTATTGGACGAAGGAAACTGGACTGGGCATTTGCCCATTGCATTTCTTAGCAATATTTTGATTAACTCCAACTCTTCCAAATTTTGAATGCGCTTTTAATTGGACTGACTTCTTAAGACACTGCTCCGCGTATTTGCCGATCTTCCGCACTTCTCTCTTCTTCATCTTCAAAAATTTCCTCAAAAAGGAGCCTCTTACGCAGGAAATTGGCTAAAATATCCACTGCTTTCGCCTCCCGCCAATCACATCACTTCTAAACACATATATTAGCGGCTTCAAAAAAATTACAAATCAACAAGTAGGAGATGAAGCTGTAATTTACCAGCAGAGATTAAATTGATGCAAGCACGTCGAGGAAAATTTTTTTTGTAGGGTCGAATTTTTACCTGCGTAGTCTAGAAGAGCCAGAGCATCGATGAATAAAAAAAAAACTTAATTTTTGAAATATTTGAAGTTATTTACCCCCTTATTATTGCAAAGATTTCTATTGTGAATGACAATAGGATGTAAGGATAGGAAAATAAGAAACCCGAACTCCACATAAATAGATGAACAAAACATGTCACAAACAAGATCCATAGGGGAAACCGAAGGCAAATTGGTTTGGATTGAGCAAACAGATATTTATTTATTTTAGTGTCTGTGAGAATTTATCCTTTCTTAAGTTTCTATCTAATGCTTTTATGCCTTGAAACAAGCAAAAGCGTTATAGTTTGGAATGGCTTGCCATTACATATACACCGCTATACAATGGCTTTCTAAAATAAGGCCCGTTCCGAACCACTTCCACGTCGGTTTCGGTAAAGTTTCATCAAAATATCTCAATAATGCGATTTTGTAGGTTAAATACCCGAATAGACGGCGCACAGACGAACAGGTGGTCAGACGAACAAGCGGTACAAGCGGACAGACGGATAGTGAAGCTTAGGACGATTTGGAAATTAGTTCAGACTAGATCAGCGTGTTGTAGAGGTCCGCGCAATCTTAAGCTACCCTTGTACCATAATGTTTGGGGTATAATGGCTTTGATTTTTCAGATTCCAAGTAAGTAACAAGGGGTAAAGGTGTGGTAACAAAGGGTATCACAGTTGAGTTGAAATTCTTGCTTAGCTAACACAGCAGGAATACAAAAAATTGCTCTAAATAAAAACTTCTTCTACTTGCATGCAAAGCTAAGAGTTTCAATGACAATGAACAAGTTTTCCTCCCTACTTAATGAGATTTTTTTCCTTATCATTTAAAACTTATTTCATCCTTACATTTTCGTTTAAATTGTTTTAGACTTACTTGATATTGAAATATTTCCTTTAATGTTTTACTTTGAGAACCAATAGACAAAATACATTATTATTCAATGCAATATCTTTTATGTCGTGTGATGAAATATATGAACAAATATTTTTCTCTTTTTTTTTTTTTCTTTCTTGTTCTCTTCTTTTCTTTCCTTCCCTTACTCATATTTTCTGTTCTCTTTCTTTTTTTCTTTTGATTTTGATTTTAATGAAAATAACGAATGATAGCCAACGCAGGGTCGTTTAATAGCCACCATTCATCTAGAATTCGGTTTATGTAATTCGGATTGTGTGTGTACCGAGATATTTAATTCACTCTTTAATCACAATAATCGAAATAATTGCAAATGATTTAATTGCGCAAACACGAGGAATTGCAAATAATAATAAGCCAAATATGAAACAAAGACACATAAACACCGCTCCTCACCTCATCTTATTACAAAAGAGAAAAAAAAAAAAAAATTTGTTCACCTTATGTACCTTTTCACCAAATAATTTATTTCTTTGTACAATCGTATGAAACGGATATCCATCTCTGACTTATTTTTATTTATTCCTGCTTTTAACGAAAGCGCTTAACAAAGTTTTATGAAAATATTTATTTTATCCTATTGAAGCATATATATCTCCCATGATATACGCAAGAGTATGTGTAGCCAAATTTATTCATAGAAAATTTTCTAATATAAGAACAGAAAGCTTATTTACAAATATATTTTTAGAATATAATTTTAATATAGGCACAAAAGTTTTATAATAATTTTACTAAAAAAAGTGCACAAATGAACGAACAAGCCAAAACGTTATGGTGGGCCATGGGCCACCATTAAATACCCTACATCACTCTACAATTATTCTTACAACGATTTTCCGAAATAAAACGTTATATGGAAAGTGATCGAAAAAGTGGTCCGATTCGATTCATCTCCACGTCAGTGTAGCAAATTTCATCAATAGCTCAAAATATACGACGACTTGTAGCCTGAGTAGAAGAACCCATAGCAGATGGATCATTAGACGAACAAACGGACAGACGGACAGTCCAGCTTAGTTTAGTGCACCAAACCTCATCCAAACTGCTCAAAACTTTTCCGGCTGGAGGAGGGACTGAAGAAAACAAGACTGATAGGTAGAAAGACAAGCGAAATTAAATCGATCCTGGTATATTGAAAGGTTGACTTATATCTTTCTGGATGTTGCACACATACGCCCAAATTTAATATATATCCTTGTACCACGAGTAGCGCAGGCTGCAATAATATGGAAAACGTTTTCTATTTAAAGAAATCAATTGAAATCGAATACAGGGGCCAGTTGTTATAGAAAAGCTTCAGAGAGGCTTTTCCGATCAATCGAGTCATTACTTCTAAACTCAAACCATTGGGCGTGGTTTCGAAAATATCAAGAAGCCAAGCATTATTCCGTCGCTTTATGACTCCATCATCGGAGGAAACTGTGCATACCTTAGTTTTGTCACTTTCGGAAAATCCTCCTTTTGAAGACATGAATTGAGACACAGGTGCAGCTACACTTAAAAGTCCAAGCGGTGAAACATTAGCTTTAGAAATAAAATAACTACAGGAAAGGTAAGCTTAAATGCTAAATCTCCGCGAGTAGAACTCTCGCAATGAATTCCGTAGTCCTTTCCATAGGCAGAGACCGAAGTCATTATTAAAATAATTGAATTGTGCTTGATTTTTTGCTTGATTTCTCCTTATACTTTGGCTTCAAGTGATTCTCATTTCAATTATAAAAAAGTTAACATTAACACTTACAGCTAAATACCTCCAACATGCATGCATACATATATATATATATATATATATATATTGATATATATATACTATATCTGAACTGAAAAATAACATGGTTTTATCTTTAGAAAAATAAAATATAATTTTCTTTAGAGATTAAGGAAATATGCGACTAAACATAGAATTAAATTGTATTCAGCTTCAAGCAAATTCCTAATAATTACTATTAAGGTATAAGATATTCGAGACATGAATCCACGCAGAAAAAAGTTTCTTACCAAAAATCATTTCAATAATTGATAGTGAACAACAAGTAAAACCATTATATTTGCCTTGATGCGAATATTTGCTCTTCACCACTTTTAAAAAATGCGTAAATAATGTGAAAAAAATTTGCCGATTAGAAGATTAACAGACGTCTTGTACTCTGGCTTTTTCAACGCTTCAACTCTCTTACTGCAATGTTTCCTTAGCACTCGCCATCGAAAGCAAAGGCATACTATGTTTGTCCTTCCGCTTATAACAATCGGAAATTTACTAATCAGAAACCCTAGTACTACTATGTCGAATATATTAGACCTATTTAATCTCTTCTGTTTAAGTCTATTTATCACTTCGAACTTATCACGTCGCCTTCAAAGTAATCCCCTTCAGCTACATTTGTTTCGTTCCGATTTCCGCAATGGCGTTCAAAGCTTTCTTCGATTCAGCTTATATTTCTTCAATCGCGTCAAAACCACGTCCCCGAAGCGGTTTCTTGAGCTTAGGGCCAGAAGTCACATGAGGCGAAATGGTCATGAAGGACCAACGAAGTGTGAAATGAACGACTATCTCTTCACAATTCCGGCCTTCACACAACCACTCAAATAATATTCCTTGTTAAAAGTTTGGCCCGACAGAAGGAAAACACAGTGTACAACGCACCACAGTAAATGAAGAAAACTATTAGCACCACCGAGATTTAATGTTTGAGCGGCTTTCGAAGTCGTATGCATAGAACCAAGTTGAAGCTCTCTTAGTAGTGTGTTTCATGACCAACTGGTAGTCAGAAATAATCTCTTGACAGATTTTAACATAATAGTCTTTTTCAAAGTAATTGAGAGTTTTTGGTCGGCATCGGCAAAGTCCCGGATTGTTAAACACCGTTCTTCAAGAACGGAATCTTTGATTTGTTTCATCGGTAGAGATTGATGGCCTTTCGGTGCGCCTTTCTCTCTCTCGACACATTCTCGGGCACCTTGGAAGTCTTTGTATAATCTGTAAACACTCTTTTGGGACACGGCCTTATCACCAAAAACCTTTTGTAACATCCTCAGCGTATGCTCGGCAGAATATTTATTGAGTTAACAAAATTTAAGTTAACTTGTTTGCTCAACAAAATCACAAAAAAAATCAGAAAAAATACTTTTTGAGTCGTATAAAGGCAATCGCAGCTAAAACACTGAAGACGTTTAAGGTTTGAAATTTGATACAGACGTCTGTCGTAGTGCTGCTACCAATTCAGAAAAGAAATGTTTCCGATATTCGTTGTACAACCTGCGCAATTTAACTTGAATATTGGTCTTACTTTATGGACGCATGACTATAGACATTCGTGAGAAGCGAGAGGTTCTGATTGGACTTAATGATAATCGTCCTTTCCTTCGGTCTTGTTGAAATATTTCTGTCCATGAAATAGAATGAGAAACACAAGCTCAAGCTAAAGCTTACAGACAGAGTTTGAGAACGGCTGCACAATGTGGCAAAAGCTAGAAGCTTCAAGGTATTTCTAAAAATACACTGAATATGGCGACATGAAGTAATTTTAAGTTTTACCCTCCAGGTGGTAACCTTCGATTGATGATGTGATATTTTTAACAGAAATTCCACCTTAGATTTTCATATGTGTATAACAGTAATTCCTTGTTGGCGAACTCCTAGCCTAATAACTGGCTTAGCAAGCTTTTTGACAAGTGGTAGTGCTGACAGTGGTGACAGTGGCAACGATTCGCCTCACGGGGACTATGATTTACTTGTTATTCCCATTTATCGTTGAGTTAAGTGCAATTTGTATTGTGAGGCAAACCTTAAAAATTGCAAATAATATGAAAAAAGCTGCAATGCATTCGCGCGGTGGATACAAACTTTTTTCATAAATTCAATAGATTCTATTGACATGTAAGTGCTTTTTTGCCTACACGCGATCTGCTCATTTTAATATACGCTTTGAATTATTAATTAATACAAAATAAATTTAAACACGTACATACATATTTAGATAAGAGTATATAAGATTGGATGACTTTATTCTAAGCTGCGTGTATTCTTTTTTTTATCATTATTCTGTTTTTTTTTTTTCTATTTTTTCCTTTATTCAGTTCATTGTATGTGCATTCTTTTAAGTCATTTTAAAATGTTTTTTTTTTTTTTTTGTTTGCTTAACTTTTAGATAGTTTTGCTTTAATTTGTATAATTTTTTTTTTTTTAATATATAGAGTTCGCAAGCAGCATCTATGACAACTTCAACTTCTGGAGCCGATGAAAATTTAAATCAACAAAGTTAAATTCAATTTTTATTCGACACGAGTACATGTTTTATAAAACAAATATTAAAAAGAAAAAAAGACCAACAACAATTAAAACCATAAAAACATAAAAAACATTCATAATAATTGTATTGAATTTCATTTTTTCTCTTTTCATGAACATATTTTACACATATACCTACAAAAAAAAGAAAAAAAGAAATTTCGCCCTTAAATGGAGAAAATATTAAAATATGAAATCAAACATTTCATTATTACTTATTAATATGGACGTATATATCTATGAATATGAGTGTAACGAAAATTTATGAGAAAACGGAAAAACGAAAAAAAAAAAAATTAACATTATATATTCAAAAATTGACTTATCGACTTACTTACACGTCATCATTAAGATTTCTTAAGGATCCTGGAAAATAAACTCTTCAGCACTTAAAGTGAAAGAATTTTTTTGACAAAAAGCAAGCAAGCTACAGTTTTGCCTGAACAACTAACTAATAGTGTTAACTTGTTGTATAGGAAAAATTTTCCTTCCAGCCTATGAATGCATGAAAACAATTAAAGGTACTCCTAGGCTTAGCTAACTTCTCTATGAATACTTTTTGGAATTGTCAGCTTCCAGTACATGTAGGCAAAAGAAGTTTGTTTATCAACTCTTTGATTAAAGCGAAGAACCAATAGTAACGGCCTAGGAACAAACGTTTTCTTTCATAGTATTTTTTGAATACAAGGAAAGTTAATGGAAGGATCCTTTTCGGAAAAATATTTAAGCTTATCGCATTCAGTTTTAAAAAAGAAAGATCTATGGCCATACAGTAAGAGGCTCGTTTAGTACAGCTTATCCGTATTTGAATCCAAAGAGAAATCATCTAACCTCTACAATTAAATAAGTAAACGACTACAAAGAGATGGAAAGCTTAAACAGTCCTTTCTTTATGTAATTGACGAGAATTGGAATTGGAAAAGGACAAATTTCTCATCAAAAAGAAATAATCTTTTATTAATATTGAAATTAAATTAATATTTAAATTAATGAATAAAATTTAAATTAATTTATTGAAAATCCCACCGTGCTTTAGTTCAAAATCTTTTAGATTGTTTGATAAGCCGCGTTGTTGTTTCCTTTCGTTGCCAAAGGGAAGGCAATATATTCTTCATTTTAACCATATTTCTCGCAGTAGCCTCTGATTCCACGTTTATAAAACGTCTCTTGTTTATTGGCAAAAAACTGATCAAATTCATTTTTGACGTCCTCTAATAAGTTTTATGGTGACCGGGACAAACATTAAACTGGATCAACGGAATATGGTAGATGTAGTAGTACATCCGACCTAGCATTACCTAATGAACTTATATGACATCTAGCCCTGACTTGGTGCAAAACTATTCCTTTTCGATATCTCAGTTCTGACGTTTTCTGTTCAGTTCAATCATTCAATAGATGATAAGTACACTTCGATTCCGATTCACAATCTCAACGTTTTTTTTTGACGAGTATAGGATTTCTGATATCTTGCCCGTTTCTTCTTTGCCCCGTCATCCCATTCATTTAACATTGTTGCAAGTACAGCTTGTCACGACCCCAGTCATGATTCGCTTCAAAAATTGATCATTACAGCCGACTTCGACAAATTTAGTCCCCCATCGATTTCACAAATTGTTTTTCGTCGGTTTCCAACAATTAATGCCTTTGATTTTGACATCATTCAACGAGTCTTGAAATGAAATTTTGCAAACCAGTTTCGGCATTGGCGTTCTCTATGCGGCAAGCAGCGTAACTGGTCCAAATTTGCATTGAAAAAAAAAAGAAGATTTTATTCATATTCTTATATCCAGTGAAGCACGTGGGATTTGATTTTTGTGTAAGTGGCGTGCATTTGAGTGCAATTTTCGACTAAAGAGAAGAGGACACTCTTTCACTCGACAGAAAATATTAATTTTATTATTAATATTAATTTGTCGAAAAAATCCTACATGTTTCACTAGAGCATGACTTTTTTAAGATACCGTAGAAAGTTCGAATAAACGAAAAGGTAAATTGTTGGAGCAAAATCTGAGTTTTGAAATAAACTCAGTTTAGTTAGGTTTTTTTTCGTTTAGGCTGCGACCATAAACTTGTCCTTCGAAAGTTCAAATATTCGTCCTCCTTCTCCTTTCTCAATGATGGCCTATTTTGCAGAGGCCTGTTTTGCAGCATCTGTCAGAGACCGCTCAACTTTCTTGATCAGATTTGCATCGCCTTCAAAGGAAAAATGGTCAAATTGGAACCATATCCAATATCCATCTTCAAAACTTTAATGATATTTAGAATAACAGTGAATAGTGATGCCGTTATTAAGACTGCGCACAGCAATATCAGTCGCTATGTCCAAGACATTTTACTTACAAAAAATTCCGAAATTTCAAGGAAAAAATTTTTTTTAGAAAAATTAGATTTTTTGAAATATTTACAGTGGTTTATACCTTTAA